CGCCTTTATCGTCTTCCATTTTCTCAATAAAAGTGTCATGAGTTCTAGCTCATCTCGGTCTATTTGAACTAATCTAAAGGATTTCATTTTGGCTAATATTTTGCTGGTTTGTTCAATGAATGGTTAGGGTGAAAATCCACATTTTTGCTCTGCTTGGTAACAGTTTGAGGCCTTTACTTTTGACAAGTCATCACTAATGTGTGTTTTCCCAGGTTGATAAAGTTGATTGGTGCCGAGCTCTACTAACCATCCGACCCGCGAGTATTCGTGCAGAACTTGACATAGGCAACGCTTCTTCCGCCGCTGAGGCAGCTATCGCTGCCACAACTCGTACAGCCGGAGGTCGAACCACAAATATCGCAACCTCCCCAAACTCTCCTCAAAGTCTTCTCCTTGAGCCCATAATCGCAGCAGTCACTGCACGTATCGCCCGTGCTCTTTCTGCATCCGAGAAATTCTCTGCCACTGGTTATGATTCGGAGAAATCGATGGTTAGTTGGGATTCAGGATATGGAGACGCACCGAACTCAACTCAAGCTTTATGGAACTCTCCGGAACTCATTCAACGTATAGTTGTGGAAGATGGTATTCTCCCTTCGTCTGTGTTTCCTGCTGTGTGGCAGAGACTGGAATCTGTCGAGGTATGAACTTCTTGCCCCCCCCCCCCCATCCTTGATTTGTAGTATTTTGAGATTCTCATGAATCTCGATTCCATTAGATTTTGACTTAGTCGTGTTCTCAAATAATCATACTCGACTCAGTTTCTTTAGATTGGGTACTCAAATTTAATTGCCTGTCATGTAAAAAAGACATCACATATTTCGATGACATGCAGTTAGAAAGAACAGTTGATGTATCAGTTATTGCTATTTATTCATCGTGGAACACAGTTGTCTTGGAGGCCCTACAGTTATTGGAGTTGCTTGCCTCTACTTAATTAATCGTCAATAATTTGTTCCCTAGAGCTATTAATTCTGCCCATAATTAATAATGAAGTTTTAAGTCGCGAAGGAAGAATTGTCTTCTTTTTAGCATCTTCAATCCTAACGACTTCTCTTCATGGGGCAACGTACTGTAATAAAAATAAAATATATTGTTGTTTTATCTCATATTAGTAGGGCCATTGGAAAATTATCATTGTCACTGGTGGAGGATGTACAAAAGAAAAAGCACCTTCGATTGACTATTGGAAAACAATTTACGTTCCACTTGTTTACTCAACGCACGTTTTTCTCTCCTATCTCCCATGTCTACACCATTTAGTGAGAACGGAGATTCCTTTCTCAGAAATCGAGCATGTTTTTTTGGTTGTCTAAATTATTTTAAGATGGTAGCGTCAGAAGCTTAGTCTGTGTCCCCTCAAACCTTTTCTTCGAGTTTCAAAGTACCGTTAGGACATTTTGACGTGCTGAAAAGTACAATATTTTATCCGTCATTTCTCTAGCTGATTTGCCATATCAAATGAAACGGCTTTGCAGTCTTTAATTTGTGGATATATTGAAAAATGTTAAAGGGATCGTGTGCAGTAGATTTGGGAGGGGGGGGGGGGGGGGGGGAGAGGGTTGGATTCGTCTGAGCTCTAAAGTCGTCGAGTTAATTGTCTCTTTTTTAACTGAGATTTAATGTACTATCTATGGGGGGGTGATTATTGTGTTTTGTTCTTTACTTATTAATTTGGTATATTCCGCCTTGATTCGTTTCATAATTATTTGTAATTGTTTTCCCTTTCAGGTTTTTACGCTCAATTTGGCTAGCCTTTACTGCGGATCGGTGGTTAGTATAATGACTTCAATCACCCAAATCACTGCAGCAGCAAAACGATCTCTAATCAATCAACTCCCTCCACATTCTTCTGCCACTTTACCCGTTGGTCACCGTTCCTCAAATTCTGCATCCACTCCTTCACATCCCCTCTCCAATCTCCAAGGGGTTGTGATTTTTGCACCCCGTTTAGACCAACTCCTTAACCGACTCTCCTCCATTCAATCCCAGTACCTCATCGAGCGGCTTCTTGGAGTCCTTGCCACGAACATCACCTCTGGGGTCAATTTCGGTAGACGTCTAGTGTTTGTCGCCACTGTGAAGAGTCTTCCGCCCACTGCAATAGCTTTGCCACCTCCCCCCTCAGATGAGCTGGTTAGGCCCATTTTGCCGACTTTGTCTCCACAAAAAGCTCCAAATGCCGTAGTTTCTGTCAGGGTACCCAACAACACCATTCCATCTTCTATTCATAATCAACGACCTCTTGTCAATAGCAATAGTAACAACAATCCTATGTATTTCAACAACTCAAATTCACAAGGTTCGTGATGACTCTTGTTTTAATTTATGAAGGGTTGATTGTTCTATAACATCCGTGAGAATGTCGCCTCGATTGTAAGTACTAACTTCGTAAAGAACTGGATCGTTAATTAACTAATGCGAGATGAGTGGGGTCGTTTATTTTGTCAATCCCTGTTTTTTTGCAACCGACGAGCTGACCTTGCTCACCAAATCGGCTAGTTCTAGTGACCCGTCAAACCTTGGGGATTTTAGGAAAGTCATCCGAAAGTATATCACTTACGATGGCAGTAGAGTTGCGAAGTTCTCTTTTATGAAAATTGGCAGTTCCCTTCTGCCCACTAAGTTAAATTATTGGTAACTAATTGATTTGTATTTTGGGAATATTCTTCATCTGAAATCAACATAAATCTCATGTATACTTTGGAGAGGGCTATGAGATAAGCTCTGTGTGTCCTAAAGTATACAAAAGCCTGCATTTCTGGTAACTGAGACAAATATACTTAGTGATGCTTCCTACTGGAATAGATACTCGTAGGTGCCAGTCTTATCGACGAGTATGTTTTTTTGTTGTAGAACACTCTGTTATACTTAACGGTCACGCTTCTCCGAAAACCGTGTCTATGCTTCGCGAACAACAATCACCACCACTACCAGGTAGCAGTGGCTATCTCAATAACAACGTTGTCACCACCACTACCACCAACCTTGGTCTTCGAGAATTTTCTGAATCGAACTTCATCCTAGAAAGCGGTGACATCTCTGTCACGTCCATCCACTGTGACGTGGAAGCTCAAACTGATCATCTTCCGCTTGTTCCATCCACTGCTATTGCTGCTTCTAGTGGAATAACAGTCGACAGCCTCCTTCGACGAATCCTACGTTTCCCATATGTGGAGAAGATATCACTGAGTCCTCCTGTTTGTTCGCTTCGAAGGAAATACCTACAGTCTGCTCTCCTGGACTGGCTAGATGGAGTATCACGTGAATCAACAGGTTTTGATCTGGATGCGGCTGCGAAACGTCTGCCTAGACCGTGAGTTTTCATTCGTAGCAGCACATATGTCTTAGCTCTGTAACACATTTAATAGGAATTTGAAGGAATTTAGTTTAGAATAAATGTGAAGAAGCTCTGCAGATAGATATTTCGCCTTTAGAGGATACATTTTGGGTGGTATCATGTGCACCTTTTTCAAGAACTGAGGTAAAGTGTGTCAATCATTTGGTCTTATTACTAATATTATCATGTCCAGAAGTGCTTCGATCAAGCTTATGTAGTAATGTAATGGGTAGTGGGCGGGTGGAAAGCCATTTCAGATTAAATTTCGAAATTATAATTGGACCTTCTTTGCGTGTAGCTAACTAAGGAGATTCAAAGAGACATGTCTTAACTAGAGATGGAGTTGAATTTATTTGTGTCAACTTACTTAACATTCATTAGTCAACAGTTGGTTGGAAAGTTTCCACCACGAACTTGGATACTTAAATCATCACGTCTCTTTTATTTTGCCTAAATTGTATTTATATATTATTGATGTCTCTTGAATTGGTGCGCCCTTCCCCTCTGCATTTGCACTGTATCCTTTGAAATCTCAGTTCTGTGGTTTTATTATTCAGGGAGGCGTTTCTAGTCACTTCTCTCTGTCTCCTAACTTATTTACTTATTCTTCCTTCTAGACCATCACCCAAACCGGTTCAAGATATAGGCCAGAATCCGGCCACTATCGCCTCTATTCTCGATTTGCCTCGACAAGCACGAGTTGCAGTGGAGGAGGCCAAGGCTATTTACAATCGTGACCGTCTTCTACGACGCTTCCGTATGGCCCTGCGCGATTTCCTCAACAACATTCGTCGTGATCGGCGCTTCTCCACCTTCTTGCGTCCAGTTCCGAAAGAAGATGCGCCAGACTATAATCGCATCATTCGACACCCAATGAGTGTTACTCATATTCGCACCAAGATTGACAATGACGAGTACACGTCAGTCGAACCTTTTAAGAATGTGAGTTTGAGATGTTTGCATTGTAGTCTCTTATATCATGCTTCAATTTTTCCTCAGTGTTGAAGAGACAGTCGAAAATTCCATAACTTCTTTCTTCGTTTCAGGATTTGAAACTGATTTGCACAAACGCGCTGGAATGCAATTCCCAAGATGAGCGCGCCTACGAGTTCCAAGATGCTGTAGACGAGGCTTTTGATGATAATACCACACTCACTGAACTTGGCGAAGCCCTCGCTGAGGTGAGTATTTTCGGTATATGATTGTATTTACTAGTCTAAGTGGGCTAATGAGTTTTGCTATCCTTTTATTTCTCCAGGCTCTTTCTACTTGCCCTCTGCCTCCACGTCCTAGTTCTCATGCTCATGAAGCTGTGGGAAATGGTACTCAAAAGAGTTCGCCCTCTCCTCCTTACGAAAGGCGTTATAGCCGTCGGCTACATGTAAGTCCTAT